AACGAATTAATGCAATAAAAAATACAAGCTCTCGTCTAAATATTTGACGAAAAATTATACAGATTTCTGAAAGTACACAATATAAAATTTCTATCAGGAAAAGAAGATAATTACGAATTTTTTTGCTTTGGCAGTTCATGTATCGACAGCCCAAAACCTACATGTATTTTAGTCCTTGATAAATTTAAAACTGTGCTCATTTCTACCCAGTAATTTATTGCACTCTTACGAATGAAATACTGAAAAGCTTTCAATATTATATATTTCCAACAAAAGATACACGAAAGAAAAGGAGCATAAATCGATACTCAGTTTTATGTGAACTATGTTTGCGTTACAGGCAAACGTTATATTTCTCGATATAATCTAGGTGAAAAGTAGGTGAATATAAGATACATAATAATAGATAAGTCAATGAATAATGCATGGAAATAGATATTTAACTGCTGTACCAAATTTTACTAACACCGCAGTGTTATGAAAATTTTTATTAACACTGTAGTGAATAAGACTGCGGATTTTTATACAATTATAGGAAATGTTTAAATACAAACATGCACTTGTTGCTCGCTGATAAATAATTTTATAACTGATGAGGAATTAAATTCGAATTTCAAAAGGGCACAAGTAGAATGCAGAACAAAATTTACTATCTGAAGCAATCTTAAAAAGTGGAAGCGTAAAGTAACACGAGAAACTCACTTACAAATGTTTATTGCACGTTTACTTGCTTACGTGTATGTTTCATAAAAATGAAGAAATGCAAAAGTATGAAAATTAACGTCAAAACGAGAAACACGTACTCTTTGTAAGAAATAGTTCTACACGAAAAAATACAAAATCAATACATTGGTACATCACATGGAGTTCCAGTATTCAAATGGATCATACATATATGTATATCGAACTGCTCCCAAAAATATCTGGCACGTCATCTGCAAATCGAGTATTTAAATGGGACATACAAGTCTCGCGTAAAGGTTGAACAAAATTAAAATTGCTACCGTTTATGAAGAGCATAGTATATCGGATGTCCCAGATATTTCCTGCAAAACGAAATCAGCGTTTTCTATGAATAAAAGATACAAGAAAAACATACGTTTTATTACGAAAGTTATAACTCTTTATGTTTATAGAAAGTCTATAATGAAACTAGCATTTTCTATGAGAAAATATATATATATATATAAATATTGGATCGTGAATGTTTTATTAGAGAATTATAATTCTTTATATTTATAGAGAGTGTAATTAGAAAGTTACAACGAACATTATTTTATTATTTTGAAAGTTTTACGAGCTGGAGAATTTATTTTTAGTACTGCATAATATAATAAATACCTTTGATATTTTGTATTTTTATGTATTAAACGTATTTTTCAATTTTCTACAAACGCATGAAAATCTGCAGTCTAACTAAAAATAAAATACCGTGTTCGAAATTGAATTGTATATCTGAAACATTTAATTTAGTATTACGAATTTATTGAAGATTTTCACGATATATGTATTTTTTGCATTAAATGCTGGTGTATATTAATTGTTATCGACTAATTTACAAGTAAAAATGAAATAAAAATGAAATAAAAATGAAAAAAAGAAAAATGTCGATAAAAGATAATGAAAATCGAAAAGAAACAGTTTGGTGATTTGGTACTGATTTATGTTAATTCAATTTCATTTCAATATTGAAATGCACAAATTGAATTCGTTCAACAATTTTATTCTTGATACTCTTTGATTTCAGTAAATGTGTTACAAATTTTTTGCATTAATCTCTAATGAGTATACCTGTAGTGTAATTTTCCTTTTAACGTTTCATGCAAATAGAAATCCCTATTACTAATAATATTTCATTTATGTAGTAGGCGGTCACATTCGAGTGAATGGATTTAACAAGCAAAAGTTCGTTTAACCGGATACTGAGTAAAATTTAATTCAGATAAATGGAGTTTATATAAACTGAGTTTCACTGTACTTTTTTGAGGTATACTAACACATATGAATACGTTTAATTCCATTTTTAGTTGAAATATGATTTCAAAATACTCTTGGTTGAAATATGATGCACTAGTGTACATAAATGCTATTGAATGTGGGAAATCTTTTCGTTAACTTTAACACACGTATATTATTTATCTTAAGATGTTATCTATATTATTTGTTATAATCTGTATTTATTTTCTTTATTTTATATTTTGTTTGTATCTTTTGTATTTAACATTATATACATAATACAAATGTAAAATAAATATACCTTAACATTATATTATATTATATTTATTGTATTATAATATACATATATATATATATATATATATATATATATATTTATATATATAATGTAAATACAAAATAATGACTTTGACAATACCGAAGATAATGAAATTGTGATAAAACTATTATCACTTATTTTTTAAATACAATGTATCTTTTCTAATAAGCCAGTTTTTATGTAAATATTAAATGTATACATATATCTGTAACACGTATTCATTACAATCTCGACCTATATAATAATTTCCAATAATATAGGAAAATTCGATAGACTGAATCTACTTGTAATACAATTCAGTACAATATATTAATATTGACAATTTCTCTCGAAACGAAGGGCGAATATATTGTACAATATGAGCGACGAAAAAGAAGCAAGTTCACAAAAATTATATTTTTCCCTTTTTAAACTTTCTTTTGATCGTATGTATGTGCATACTGTAAAATATAAAATTGAATTGTGATTAGCGAGAGAAATATAATAATATTATTATTGCGAATTAATACAGAAAAAATAAATGTTAAATTCTCCTTTATCCATCACTGTAGGCATGTGTATCTATTAAATGTATGTAAAAATTTTTTCTGTCACATAAATTATGAGTCAACTTTATCTGTTACGTAATTATAAACAATTTCCTACACTATCTTGTTACAATTGAGTATCATTTCATATTAGTTTGTGCGTCCTTATTACACATGTGTTGTTAAATATGACAGAAGCAATATATTAAGAGATAATATAATTATATTATATAATATTAATATAATATTAAATATTATTATTATATAACAATAATATAATAATAATATTAATATTAAAAGATAATATAATTATATTATATAAGAATAGATAATTGAAAATATTTCACGGCGATTCATGAAAAATATATGTTCGTAAATTCTATACTTATTTTTAGATTTTTCTTAAATTTTACCAATATAATCTTAAGCATCTTTCATTACAATATTAATGAAATTTTAAAATATTTTATATATGTAGATATATAAAAATTTCTGATAAGTGTTCGATTACATTCAAGCGTATCGATATATATATATATATATATAATTGAAAGGAAGTATTCCTAGCAACAAATATTAATTCTTTCAATGAATATATATGTTTAATAAGAATATGCACATATGACGTGTATAAAATTATAACAAACATCTGATACGAATATTTTCAAAAAATGGAAAAAGAAGCCCATCGAAAGCTTCGTTTAAAATGTTATATAGCGATTTTCTCACTCTCATTATTAACAATTTTCTTGTATTTTTTAAATATTTATTTATTCTCCATGTAACATTTCGATTAAATCTTCTGACGAAAATAGATGATCTAGTGATACAAATATATGCTAACAAAGTTTAAAAACAAATATACTTATCAAATTTGCGAAATGTACTGACTGACAATTTCTATAAAAGAAAAAAGTTCTACTACTTACATTTCATATAAAATAAAATTAAAAGATACTTGTATATTTGAATAAATATTTCAAAAATGATTAACATTTATTTCTATATTACAATTTCTATATTAATATATTATACTTTATTATGTAAGTATATTATGTCTGCTTTATTATTATTGTATTGCTTTCATTTATCATTATTATTCTTATAATTTAATACATTTGTTTTTATCTCACGTTCTTTCACATATAAAACATATCAAATTTCTTTGTTAATAAACATTCACTTTTGAAAGAATGATCCACGACATGACTTCTTTTGTCATGATGTTTAATGATAAAGTCTCATGTATGAATTTAAAGTGAAATGCACAATGTATAATAAAAAAATCATTTTCAATAAATAACTTGTAATTTACAATACACCCTGTATACGTATATTGCGTGAAAAATGTCAAACAGCATTGCACTGTAATTGCACAAGTAATTAAAAACAAATAAAATATCGTACGACTTCGTGAAAGTATGAAACGTTTATATCGCTATGGAAAATGTTCGCAGAACGTTCAAACAACATTATCTGAAAAAAGATCTGAGTTTAAACGAAACAAGATAATTATTTGAAACGACATAAATTTTGAACAAATTGAATTTTATTATAATTGTCGTTGAACTGTGTCTTTAAAAAAAAAAAAAGAAAACAAATTTTAATATATGTGTAGATAGAATTATTTGAAATGATTTAATACTAGGATACGACATCGATGTATTACTTATTAACGATACTATTTCTCGAATCCGCGGTCTTACTCATACAATAACCCTGAAAAGGTAATGATCGATTCGTACGTATGCCTCGTACATAGTTACGACAAAATATGTATATCTTACGTCAGTACCACGTGTTTCGACGTAGAATTTGTCTGCGATACAAAAGGATACCCAGGTTTACAGTTTCGTAATCAACGAACCGATAGAACTGCTACATTTTAAAAAGTTCTATCCGAATCTGTAAACGCAATTTGTCACGGACAACGCGTCCAAGGTAACATGCGTAAATGATAGCAAGCAATAACTGAAGTAGTACTTGTAATATAAAGACAGATAAAGACGGATGATCGAATGAGGCAAGGGGAACGCAACGATGTGTACAAATAGTAGAGAACAATGATCGGGAACATGTCACTGGAGGAATGAAAGTGCTCGAAGTGTGTACGTACGTATGTACATACATCGCACGCGAGAAACAGCGACAAAGAAAGATCATGACGCGACGCGTGACGTAGCAATTCACGAACTCACCATCGAGATGTTGATAGCCGTTCCTCTTCCGTGTGCGTAGCTCGGTGTCGCTGGTCACTGGATTTTACTACACACGCGTCTGCAGTCGGAGCTTCACTGTCAGCGTGGGTGCTATAACGCAGTGTGCACGCCGGTTGTAAACCAGTCGCCTGGCGAATCGATACTGCGCGAATCAAAAGCACGAACGGTCGTTTCTCTTGTGAGAAAAAAAAAAGCCGTACGATGCACGAAACAACGAGGAAATTGCGTGGAGAAGGACGACGGACAAGATGTCGCCCTGGGAAATTTGCCAAACAGTTTTCGTCTGTGTGTGTACACTTATTACGCGCACGACGTACGCGTCATCGAAACGAGCCGGACGACAACGACCGTCAGTCCGCTACTTACCGGCCAATCGCAGTAACGCAGTACCAAACGTGCGAGAGAGAAAGAGAGAGTGTGTATGTGTGTGCGCGCGCGTGTGTGTGAGAGAGAGAGAGAGAGAGAGAGAGAAAGAGAGAGACGAATGATTATGACAAAGACGGTATAGCTTCTCAACCATCGCTGTCTGATTTCGGTCTGCCCATGAAACGAATGGGTCACGGTGTGCTTGCGACGTTGATTTTCTTTGTGTTGTACGTGTCGCGCACTTCGACAACCGCCCGACCGCCTCCGAACTTTGCCGATCCTTACCGAAGGATCAGTTGAATTTTGCAGCTACTGCAGGCTCCAACATGAACAATTTTTGCGGTATTTTAGAAACTTCATGTGTATTTTTTTTAAATTAGAAACGCCGAAAAATTTCATTTTTGTGCTATTTCACAGTAATGTTACATTTGTCGAGGCATAAGTTTTGAAGCATGAATTCGCTCTAACGAAAATTTAAACTTCGACTGGACTATTTATAGAAGTAATTAATATCTCATGGTTGTAACAGAGAAATTATATTATATATAATTATACGATTTTACTTTGTATAAGGAATTTCATCTAAAAATATTCATTTCCCTATTTTAGAATTCAGAAGTCAAGCAAATTACCTCTCTGTTCAGTCGGACAAATAAATAATGCGAATGTTGGAACATAGTGCCATCTATCAGAATCAACAACAGCTACAATTTTTCAAAAAGCCGTTACTTCCGAATTCGCAGCACACAGTCAATTTAAAAATGCTTAATGACTATTACAAACAACATTCAATAATTCAAAAATACACGATCAATTAGTTTACAAAAGATTTCAGTTGATATGTTTATTATAAATATAATATCACTATTGCTTCATTAAAATAAGGTAATTTTTTATTTTATCCATTTTGTAGGAATGTATAGAAACGGTGAGCATAGACAAAAAGCAACGAAGTGCTTTTACTATCAAATATTATTAATCAAATATTAACCGATTGAAGTAGAATAGACAGAAATACGATATTTCAATGGCGAGTATACGAAAAATTAATTTTGTCCTTTAAAGAAATATTTGTTATATGTCATATTACATATATATACGTGTGATTAGATACGTATGTATTTGCAATGTATTTGCAATGTTTGAAATGCTTGTATGTTGTATATTTATATAACATTCCAGTTGGAAATTGTATGAACAAAACTAATTTATTTGAAAAATATTATTCACAAAAGTTATTAAAAATAACCAAACGTCATATGACATCTGCTAGCAAAATTAGTATAATATAGAAAGAATTTTCATAAAACATATACATACGTATCTCAATTTACATTCAATCAATTTATTAATTTATATTATTAAATTTATATTATCAAATTCTGTTTCTTAATATGATGCTTTGAAATTCCAAGAATTTGCTTTATGTCTTTCTAACGTTATTCCTTTATCTGAATCCTATAATTCTTAAAGTTCCTATAAACTTAAAGAAATATAATACTATGATAAATATAATACTATGATAAATTACTACTTGGTTCTTAATGATAGGTGTACATTATAAATTATACTAAGATATTGCAAAACGCTTTGACAGAATTATTATAAATATTTGATCGAATATTCAATATGCATCTTGTTGCACACGATAGAATTCTAACGCAATCTGTATCTAGATTTCTATTTGACAAGAGGAAATTATTCATGCAATCGAGGTCAACGAGTTTAACGCTAGACCTTCACACCTATTGCTAAACAATATCCTTACTTTTTTTCTCAATGTTTTCAATAAAAGATATTACTAGAAATTCTATATAAAGATCCTCTTAAGCAAGCGATTAATTATTTATTTATTATTTGAAATAATTTGATTATTTATAAATCAGTGGAACAATTCGGATGTGGAACACTCTAACAATGAGGGTTGTTAATGTGTTGAATAAATTATTCGTTTGACGAATCGAAAGAAACTTTCTTAAAAACTTTTCTTGTGCCGCCTTTTAGAAGATTCGGCACATTACTAATAAGCGTCACGTACTTTGTGTAACTGTATAAATTTCAGGCTGAATAATGCGGAACAGAGGAGGCCATGCCATCAACGAATAATTACGTAAGCGATACTTTCGTCAGAATTTTTCTGCTTTGAACAAGTGCGTGTGGCTACTTGAAAATTTTATATCGCTTTACAAAGAAAACGAAGCAAGGTACTGCGCAAAAAAAGAGATACGTATTAATAAATTATTACAAGTTTTTAAATCTTGAATAATTTTTCAAACTTTGAGCTTTTTATAATATTCTGAATATGTTATTATTTATTATTAGACTGCGAGATTTCACGCAAATTCATATTTTTGAAAATATAAATTAATTAAAAGAACAAAAAATTAAAAATTATTTTACATACCATATGTATCTTGTAGAAAACACTATGCTTTAGATATTTTACATATTTTTCCATATTATGCGCATTTTATGCAACTTTACACAATTTTGCATTTTTAAATTTTCTATAAATCCATAAAAATCTGTAGCCTAGTTATTACGCGTATATGTATGTACATGCTTAATCTTTTCTTTTGCAACTCGGTCTTCAACTTGTTTGTTTTTTAAATCATATCCCTGCAATGTTTTACGCTCACATCTACACATTTTTAGCAGACCAAAACTTTTAGCAGAATTTAAAATTAATTTAATGCTATTCGAAGAATATTTCATAATTATTTTTCTAAGTGCACATAACACTTCTTGAAAAATATATTTTGAATCATTTAACAAATTCTTTGCAAATTTCTAATCATAACAGTCGATTAAGGTTTCTCATTATGAATTTAGACAATATTAGAATCGTAAATGTTTTACGAGTTTAATTATTTTAGAATTATACTTACGAATTAACATAAAGAGAGAAATGAATTTAAAAAAAATGCATCTGAAAGTATGTTACAACATTTATTAATTTCTTTATTTATTATTTCCATACAAATTAATTTAATGCTAATTAATTTTATGAAATGTACTGTTTAGTAATGTTATTTTTTAATTTATTTGCTAAGTACTCACAACAATCATAATTTTTTACACAACAGATATCACAGAATAACTTAATCAGAAGGATATTTCAGTCTACTATTAGATGAAACTTTTAATTAAATTATTAGAGTAAATTAAAGATATATAAATACGTTAGTAACTAACAATTAATGTTTATAGTGATATTTACTACATAGTTTTTAATATATTTAATTCTTCATTGTTATTCTGAAGTATTTGTTATTAATATTATTTTAAGAAGCAATATACAATTATTACGCTTTTATTTTTTTTAGTAGCTATTTTACAGCAAATTTTATTTAATTAGTTAAAGAGAATCATGATTAATGACTTTTGAAAATTATAAATGAATTTTGAACTTTCATATCTTATAAGTAAGTTTCTGATTTTGAAAACATATATATTTATTATTAGTCATTTGAAAGCTTAATGAATAAAAAAATTTTATTTTGTAAATAATTAGTAATTATAATATAGTAATTAACAATTTTATTTCTGTACACATTTAACAAAAATTTTATTATTTTTTTTATTTGAAGAATTAGAACTTTTTCTTTTATCTCTCAGTCTGTTCTCTTTGTTATGAAAATATCTTTACGAAATAATTTTTAATTTAATTTCTTAATATACATTTTCTACATACAACTTCAATTTTAATAATTCCTAATCAAAATCATTATAGTGTCTATATTTATTATGGTTCTATAGTATTATATTTTACACTCTGTGTTATTGTTCTGTACAGATAGAATCCATTTCAGTATTAAATTCAGTTCAAATCGCTTTTAATTCATTAGTTGTATAATATTACATAACATTGATTTTGATAATTTTAGAAAATTCCTTTTTGAACTGACGATTCGTGATTTAATTTTATTTAAATTTAGTATAATTTATTTTTTATTTAATTACGTATAAAAGAATCAATATTTATATGCATAATTTCTCCAATTTCAATTGTATGCTAATGATTTTCGTAACATATTAAAAATCCTTTTCTCAATTGAAAACGAAATTAGAACATAAAAAGTCTAAGATCACGGAAGAATTAAGGGAATTTTTTTGAAACACATATTGACAGTTCGATTTATTTCGAATATTGCACGTGTATCTAGTAGCTAGCAGCTAGCTTGCAGCGCTTGAATGACATCAACTGTATTAAGGTTCAATAACTCGCACGTGGCATTTACGTGCACGATGATGCAGCCAGTTTTAATTAAAATAACTAACGTGCTGTGCGTAACATTATAGTGTAGAGAAGGCCGGCTGTTTTGCGAGCGTCGCGTTATGTGAATCGACAATGAATTATTGTCACTTTTCTTTGGCGAGCAATCACTGATCCATTGACACATAAAGAGCATTGGGGGATTTTCATCAGTCCCGGTAGAGAATTTTGTATGCGTCGTTCGTATTGCTTCAAATAATTCGTTGCAAGCTAATGCACCCGGAATTAACCATTTGTTACATGAATTATTTGTGAACGATCCTGCTCGCATTTGTATTCCTTGTTTGTAGTCTCAAGAAATATTACGAAAAGTAATGAATTTTGATAACAAAAAATGGATTTATTTGCATAATAAATGCTCATTTCATTGCTAATTTTGATGCGAGGCAACGTTGGTACATATCTGCATCGAGTTAATAAACATATAGTAAATCACAAAAATCTACATATATCTGCAAATTTCAAATATTTAAAAAAAGACAATATTTCAAATTTTAATATAATTATTTGTTAAAGCCAATTTTGAAGAAATGATGATATTTCTAACATTCTTTTAATGGAAAATATAAAATTGGTACGATAGATCATAAAATTTATTATACAATTACTACAGTGTAAATGTATTCTTATTATTATTATTATTATAATCAAACGTTTTATCCATTCTATTATGCAAGTAGAAATTATATATAAATTTTCGTATCATCGTGTTTTATCTCTTTTTCTAAAATAAATTTAAGAATCACTATAAAAATACTGATAATGAAGAATCAC